GCGCGACCCCCTAAGCACAGCACGGCCCCGAGATACAACGGGGCCACGCAAACGCAGCACGCCCCCCAAGCGACACACGAAGCACCAAATACACCACAGCCCCCCAGACTCACTAACACACCACGACCACCAAGAGGACACGCCACGACCCTCCAGGCAACCCACTACGGCCCCCAAAAAACGACACGACACGAGCATGGGGGCACCGCATGAACCCGCGCACAAATTACAGACAAGCAGCCCCAAAAACAAAAAGGAAGCAACCCCGCAGACAGCAAATAGCCCCTGCGCTATGCAGTGGCCCACCCCCTTGACAAGACGCATGGCCTTAAGAGGCACCCCCTGACCCCAAAGGCACCGCATGGCAAGACATAAAAACTGAGCACGGCCCCAAAAACATGGCGCGGCCCCTTCCTAGGCACAGCATAGACCCCCAAACAGACACAACACAACCACCAAGACGCGCCAGCACGACCCCCAAAGACACAGCAGAAGCCCCGAATACAACGCCGCACCCCCAAAACAGCACGAACCCCAAAACACAACACGACCCCGAAAGGCACAGCACTCCCACCCCGAACACGCCACGGCGACGACCAAGACACCGCACGACCCCAAAGAACCACCATGACCCCCCGAACACAATGCGACGACTATAATTCACTGAGACCCCTCAGCCCCGCATCAAAATGCCCCGCATGACCACGCACCAAAGCGCAGCCGACTGGCCACCAAAGACGCAGCACGACCCCGAAGGAAAGCACGCCGCCAAGCCCACCAAGGCTCACCATGCCCCCCCAACTCATTGCGACCACACGGACGCAGCACGCGACGACATTGAAAAAAGCCAGGCAAGCCACAAAGGGAGAAGGAAAAGCCCGGCCCCCATTCTAGAGCCACAAACACACACGAACCCCAAAAAGCAGCGCGCAACCCCCGGAGCAACACGACCCCGCCCCCCATACGGAGGACCACGGCCCCCGAAGCACGCCACGCACTCGCACCCTGACGCCGCGCAGCCTTCTAAACCCACTACAAGATACCACCTGCCCCGCCACCCCCGCCAAAGCCTCTAAATGATTCCCAAAACACTGCGCGCCCCCCTGGGAACGAATTGGCCACCCCTGCACAAGCAGCACCCGCCACCCCCCGAGAACCACCCAAAAAAAGACTCCAGGCACAAACTGACCCACGAGACACAGACCACGACCCCCTAGCGCATCACCATCCCCCAAAAAATGCCACAGCCTGACTTGCCCGAGGCATCTACACCGCCCCGAGAGAATGCGACGCATGCCATGACCCCCCCCCAACACCGCGCAGCCTCGAAACACAAGACGACCCCCAGGCAAGCACTGCCGCCAGCATAGACGCCAAGGCCCTCGATGACCCCCAAGGCGCACCGCGATCCTGGAAAACCACCGCGGCCAGATATTCACGACCACACACCGCGCGCCCCCAAAATAACTAAAAAAAAGCACAACCCCGAGGCAAAACACGACGACCCCCCGAACACACCACGACGACCACCAAAGCGCGCCGCGCTTCCACTGACACACCACGACCCACCAAACACGCCGCGGCCACTCAGATACAGCGGAGCCCCTGAACTGTTAAGCCAATAGAAACACAAGCCCCCAAAGACACCGCGCTGCCTCTAAAACACCACGCGGCCCCCCAAGATCCGCACGACCCAAACCACACGCCACCGCCATCCCCCCAAGCTCCCCGCGATCTTCCTCCAGACACACCCCCCCCCCCCCACCCCCCCGCACTCCGCGACCCCTCAGACCCGCAGGAAAAAACACAGCCCCCGCAGAATAATGAAAGGCCACGCGAGGCACCACGCTGATTCATTGCCCCCAAGACAAAATCCGGCCCACCAAGCACAGCGCAGCTTCATAAACACTCCAAAAAGCAAAGCCTGACCCCTGAGCAAACACCGCCCGAACCCCTAGGAATTGCGTAGCCCCTCAAGCACAGTGTAACCCCCCCGAAAGAGCACAGCGCGACCAGACCCCCCGAACATGAGGCGACCCCAAGCCACTCTACGACCCGCCACACACATCACGACCCTCCAGGCACACCACGACGCCCCAGCACATGCCACGGCCGTCCGATCAATAAAATGCCAAATGCCCCGCCGTGCCTCCTTGAACGCCGAGCGACCCCCGCAAACACACCACGAACGACCGCCCCAGACACCCCACGCCCCCCAAACACAAATCGACGCCACGACCTCCAAACGCACCCCGGCCCCCCGACGCAAGCCAAGACCCTAACGCGACTACGTGACCAATATGACGCAGAATGACTTCCCAAGCGCTGAGCAATCCCCCCCCCCAAGCACCACGAACCCCCGAACACCGACCGACGCCGCGACCTCTAAACGCACCACAGCCCCCCAAACTCGCCACGGCCTAGCCCCCCCGCGAAGCATGACCCTGGGACGCAGCTTGACCAAAGCCCCGCCCCCCGGACACAGCACGAGCAAACCCCCGAAAAAAGCATGACCAGACCCCCCTGGCACAGCAT